TTGCCTCCCTTGGCTTCTCTCGTGGCAGAAGCTTCTCTGTGAGCTGAGTGGGATGTGAGCAGAGCAGGGAGCAGGCTGCCCCGGTGTCGGTGGGATGGGAAGCACCCTCTGCTCTGGGAGATCACATGCAGGACACCTCGCTGGCAGGGCCTCTTGTTCGGTGCTCTGGAAGCTGGCAGAGGATGGAGAGGAAGTTTAGACTTTGTCCAGGGCAAAGGTGCCTCAGTGACACCCATGTGGGTGCTGGTGTCTGCCAGGGGAGCTGTCCTGGCTGCCAAACAAGGACAGGATCCTCACAGCACAGATGGCCCTGGAAGTGGAAACGCTGTGGGGGCGTTCCAGGGAAGCCCTGAAATGGGAACACAGAGGAGACCAAGCTGCCCTGCCTTGCAGGGTGTGTGAGGCCTCCACAGGGCTGTGCTGTGTCGCTGGGGGAGCAGAGCAGAGCAGCCTCTCTGTGCAGTGGGCACTCCTGGGCACAGGGCACTGCCCTCACAACTTCCTGATGTGCCAGCCTGAGTCCAAATAGCCCCTGGAAGGTGTCCCTGTCCGTGGCAGGGGGTTGGAACAAGATTATCTTTAAAGTCTCTTCCAACCCACACCATTCTGTGATTATTCCCTCTGCTGGGACTGCAGTACATCTGAAATCAGATTTCACCTGGTGTGAAACGAGATCCCTCTGGTCGTGTCCTCCCTGAGATGTTACTGTCAGAGCACTGGGGATATTGCCCATATTCCAGTAAAGCTGCCAGCCCTAATCTGCCTTCACCATCTCCCCCGTGCCCCACAATCTGGTGGCTGCTACGTGTGCAGCCCCGAGGCAGCACTGAGGGTGTTTGATAATTAACAGGTCCCGTGTGCCTGGGCTTGCTGACCTGGCAGCCTGGCAGGAATGCTGCTCCCACTGACCTGAGGAAAAGGTGTTTGTAGGGAAAGTCCAGGGAATTGTCCCAGGGAGCTCAGCAGAGCCCTTCCTGCTGTGGAGGCGTGGGGTTGCAGCAGAACTCCAGAGTGCAGGGAGCAGGGACCCTCCCCTCCCCAAACTGAGCTGCTTGGCTCCTGCTGACTCACCCAAACTCCTGTCTTTGTTTTCCTTGCAGGTTCATGGAACAGCATCCAGAAATGGACTTTTCAAAGGCTAAATTCAACTGAGCTATCCCCCTTCCCCCCCTCTCTTTCAGTCAGCCCCTTGAATGGGGCAGGAAATGTATGGTTGGATATTCCTCACCTTGGGCAAGTTAAACTTCAGCATCCCCCACCCGAGCTTGCTGTGGAGGGCCCTGCCCAGCCACCCTCGGTGTCCTGGGAGCAGAGGCAGGGCCCCAGAGCAGCTCCAGACAGAGACACCTGCCACAGCTCCCACAGGCAGCGAGGAGAGGAGGAGGGCTTAGAGCCAAAAGGCTGTTGGGGCTGAGAGAGCCAGACCTGAGAGGTTTTGGGATAAATCCTTGAGGTATTGCTTCGCTTCCCTGGGCTGCTCCGAGCTGCTCGTCCGCTCTTTGCCACTGGCACAGGAACTCCTTGGTTCTGCTCCCTCCTGCTCTCCTGTGAAAACAAGGGTCAAGTTTATTTTGTAAAACAAATCTTTCCCTGCCTTCTTGGGAAGGGAGAACAGCAGTTGGAAAGCACAGCTATTGCAGTGGAGACAGACCCTGCTTCTCCTTGCTGCTGCTCCTGTTTGTGCCACAAGTGGGACAGCTGGAGCACCCCGGGCTCCCAGCACAGATGGAGGGTCAGGCTGCTGTCCTGGAGCAAGGAGAGGCTGGGACTCTGTGGCTGTGGGTGGGGAGGACGTGGGGGGCGTTGGGGATGCTGTTGTTGCTGGGAGTGTCTCCTGCCTCTTCCCCAAGAGCCTTCCTCCCCTCTGGCTGTGCGAGCTCCTGCTGACGAGTGGCATCACTCTGCATGTTCTGTCTTTGTTGAAACTGCAGTGCAACATAAAGGAAAACAAGTGGAATATCCCAGGCAGAGCGTGGTTTCTCTGGCAGAAGGGATCAGGGATCCAGGCTGGGAGGGACAAGGGAGGGTGCTCTCACAGGGGTGCTGTGCCCGTGCTCTCTGCAGCTGCCTGGGAATCCCTCTGGCGCTCCCAGCTCCGGGCTGACGGTCTCTCCCTCCCTCAGGAGGCGGCAGTGGGAGCTGTGTTTTGCTCAGGAGCGCTGCTGAGCGCCACTCCCAGCTCACACCCCAGGGTGGCTGCTCCAGGCCCTGCTCTCCACAGGGCAGCAATGACCACACCAGGAACCCCCCCTTGCCCCAGGTCTCCTTAATGCCCAGCTCACAAGGAGAGTGTCAGGAAATCCTGGGCTCTGTCCCAAATCCCTGCTGCTGTGGCTCTTCCCTCTGCCTCCCCCAAACATTTCCACCTCCTGCCCGAGGGATGGGCACAAAGGGCTGAAAATCTGTTTGGGCAAAGTCCGGCCTGGCACAGCTCCTGGCCTGGTGGGGTTGTTTTCTGAGCAGCAGAGCACTGTTTGCATGAAGAGTTTTACAGACTCTTGGGGTTAAAAAGCAGCTCCCACCCAGCAGAGCAGTGACCTTGAGGGTGAGCAAGGACCCAGATTGGGGCAGCTGCCTCTGGGCTGGATCCTCCTGCCTGTTTGTCTTACAGATCACCTACACCCACCTGCCTGTCTGTGCTTTGGCCTTGATAAAAGAGCAGCATCTCCTGTTTTCATAAAAAAAGCTGAATTCTGCTGAATTTGAAGGCTTTAGCCCCAGAATGAGCTCCCTGCCTGGTTTGTGGGGCAGGGGAGCTGGGAGGGCTGAGCTGCTCTGGGCGGGATGAGCTTCTCCCTGTTCTCAGCTCTGTGGGTGAGCCCTAGGGAAGCTGGGGGTGTTTTGGGAGGAAGGAGGGTCAGTGGGAGAACGGGGCCAGCCCTGGTGCCCTGAGCCCTGCAGGAGGTGAATGCCCAGGCCGTGTTTGTGAACGTGGCTGATCCCAGAGCTGCCCCTGGACTTCGGCCCCTCGGCAGCGGAACAGAAGGTGTTTCACTGCCGGCCTTGTCCTCTGCAAACTCCCCCAGGCACCACTGCCCCAGCCAGAGGGAGCTGGGAGCACCCTCTGGGCAGCTTCCCAAGGCAGCTGCCCCTGGGATAAACCCTGCTGGGTCCAAGGAGCTGCTCAGGGCTTGAGGAATGCAAAGCCCCATCTCCGTCTGAGTCTCTGGAGACCTCGGAGTGTGGCTTTGTCCTGTGCCCACGGCAGGAAATGCTGGACAGCTCCAGGGAAATGCTGGGCAGCACCGGGACCCACAGCGTGCACACCTTGAGTGGCGCCTGAGCCCCAGCAGAGCGGGCAGGGCAGTGCTGGACAGGGACAGGGACAGCTCACCGAGGTCCCTCTGGCTCCATACCTGTGCCAGGTCACCTGGAGCAGCCGTTCAGGTGCTGCCACCAGCTGGAGGGCAGAGCCCTCAGCTCCTCACCTGCCCAGGACAGAGCCTGGAGCTCCTCACCTGTAAAAGCAAGGCCTTTGCAGGCACAACAGGCTCTGCACAGAGCTTTCTATAGGGTAAAGTTTTCCCCAGTCATTTGAGTTTTATCTTTAACAGCAGCTCCTGGCTTAGCTGTTATTAATGAATATTGCAGCTCAGAGCATTTGGGAAATATCCCAGACTCCAGGACTGCTTTGGGAAGAGCAAGGGAACAGCAAAACCCCGAGGAAGGGAACAGGAACAGTGAGCAGTGAGTGTTGGACGTTACCGTGTTGTTTTAGGAGGAGCCTCAGCTGCTCTGTTACTGCAAGGGCCAGGCTGTGAGGAATTAGAGTCCATCCATCTGCTTCCTGATGTCTAAGCCACACTGAAATCAATAATTCAGCAGCTCAGGGTGGGGATGTGCAGAGGAATTTGTTCAACACTCCTGCAGCCGTTCCCTGCAGAGCTCCTGAGCTGCCCTCACCCGGTCCCAGGGCACCCTGGGCAGGGGCACAGCTCGGGCTGGGCAGGACAGGGATCCCTCTGAGGGCACAGCACAGCAAGCACCCACAAAGTGGGAGTGTCTGGAGACTCCTGGCACAACCAAGCCCAATAAAACCAAACAACGTCTTCAGGAAAAGCCAGGTGCTGAGTCAGGTTCCCAGAAGGAAGCACCTGTGTGAGAGAACACCTCCAGAGCCAGGTAAGGCTCTCCTGTTTGTGAGGTCTCCACTTGGGCAACGCAGTCAGCTCACTCAGCACAACACTCAATGCATGCTCAGAGCAAAAACCGCTCCAGCAAGAGCCAGGACAGCTGAATCCACAGCAAACAACTTCCTGCAGACAAAAACCCCTGGACTCATCCCATGTGTGGATGTGAGCCAGGACACCCAGGCAGCAAACTGGGAAGCTGCTGAACAAACTGGGCTGACAGACCCCACCCAGCTGGTCCGAGGGCTCCAGACACAAAATCCTCCCCAGAGACCCTTCCCAGCCGAGAGAAGGCAGCATTTACCTGTTCATGGCTCTGAAATCCTCCCAGGAAACACATCCTGTCCTGGGCACCAGCGGAAACCCCCAGGGCTCCTGCCCCAGGGGGTGAGGGAAGGCCAGCAGCCAGGAATGGAGCCCTGCAGGTTATCCTGGGCTTTGCCCTGAAATGGGCAAGTGCAGAACTGCTCCTTCAGGCCCCAGGGTCAGAGGCTGGGCCACCCTCCATCCCTGAGCTGATCCTGCAGAGCAAACCCCACATCTGCTGCCACGAGCTGGTGACACCGCAGGGACAGCCTGGGAACTCTCCCCCTGGCTCAGCTTTTCCACAGCTCAGGTCCAGCATCACTCCCTGGAAGGTCCAGGTTTCCCTGCAGGAGAACAAACCCTTCCCCAGAGGCTCCTTCATTTGCATCCAGACACCAGCCTGGCATTCAGGATCCCCCTGGAGCTACCAAATGGATGAAAATGTCTTTGTGCATCTGGGACTGCAGGAATCAGCCACCCCCTGTGCAACCCCCTGTGCAGGATCCCCACGCTGATGAGAACAGGAATGTAAAAGCCACAGCAAAGAGCACAACTTTTACTTTATAAAAAAGACCAAACCATAATATTTAAGGCCAATGAGTGCAAAAGAATCCCATAAGACACCACAGGTGAACCAGCTTCAGGGACCATCGAGTTGACAGTCTTCCTCAGGGTGAGTTTTTGGGGGGTTTGGGGGTTTTTTGGCTAGTTTAACTCCCACATGCTCACTCTCCACACCCAGACCAGCCACTAAAATGTGGATCTGCTCTGAACCAGGGACTGCAGCTCTCTGCAAGCCCAGCTCACCCCTCGTTTCCAGCTCAGCCCACAGAGCTGTGTCAGTGTGACCCACGTGAACCTCAGCACACAGCTTTGAGGAAACTTGTCCAAATAACAATGTACAAACCCAGGAGAAGCAGAAGCCAAGCAGGTCCCTCAGGACGGGCAGCATTTGGAGGGAGGTGACCTCACACAGCTCCCCTGGGAGTCCCAGCCTGGCCTTGCTTCAAGTCTTTCCCTTGTATGAACTCGATTTCTCATCAACCAACAGCTTTGAACATAAAGCAGGGAGGGGAAGCCAAATCCAAGGCTCGGTCCCTTCCCTTCGTCTTTCAAATATCTCTGTCAGTGTCTCCAGGTGTGGTCTCAGTAATGCCCCTGATTCCTGGAAGCACACTCTGAAAACAGCCAGTGATTTACAGAAACAGGCTCTAACAGGGACTGCAACTGTCCATTTCAAAGGGTTTTGGCCTTTTAAAGAAGCCTGAGAGCTCCTGAGAGGAATTAAATCCTTCCTCCCTGCCCAAACCTCTGAAGAGCAATCACAAGCTATAAAATACAGGCACATTTCAACTAAGGCACATTTCAGTTCAATTAAGACACATTTCAGTCCAACTGAAGCACATTCCAGTCCATCTAAGGCACAAAACCATGGTCCACACGGAAGCCCAGGGCCTGTCTGGGCTTCCCTCTCCCCAAAATCCAGTGGGTGTGTTTATCCTATGGCTGGTGAATTAAATGAAGCATTTTCTGTCCATGTCCAAGGGCACCCAAAGCTCCAAACAAGTCCCATGGCTCGCCGTGTTTACTTTGTGATAAACAACCAAGTGGCAGCACCACAGATGCAGCTTCCTCCTGCTGCAGCCACCCCAGCCCCCAGCACTGGCCCTGAATCAGGGGATGAGCCAAGAGGCACAAATTGAATGAGCCCCACAAAGCTGAACCTTCTCCTCAGGCAGCAGCAGGTGACACCAAGGCTCAGCAGGGAAAGGCAGAGCTGCCCACTGAAAACACCATGGGTGGAAGACTTTGGGTTGGTGGGACCAACACAGGCACTTTACATAGAGATTTGGGTCCCTGCAGAGCAGGATTCAGCCTGCACCTCAACATCAGCACCAGCACAGAGACACCACAGTTATTCCCTATCCAAGTTCACTCAGGCAATGCAGGAAGCAGAACTGTACAACAGGTCCTCAAAGCAGGGAAAGGGCTGAGCCCCTGAGCTGCTGGAGCTAACTGTGATTTACAGGAATCACAGAGGCACAAGTTCTCTGCTACTTCCTTGTCCATCTTCTCCTCCCTGGGCACACAATCCACCTCCAAGTTCATTAGTTCTGCAGTTTGCTTCCTTGATTGTCCATAAAAACCAAAATATTCAGTGAAGTTCAGACAGCAGGAGGAATCTGGCTTCAGTAAGGATCAGGGAAGACTGAGAAAAAAAAAAATTAAACTTGGCACAAGACACTCCACATGGAAGGAGGAGGATTGTGAGTGCAGCACAGGCTGGAATGCCTCCTGCTGCTCAGGTCCTTTAACAGTACACCTGGAGCAGAGGTGCCCCTGAGGAGTCAGTCTCTGTGTCCTGGAAAGAGGAATCTCTGCTGGTTGGAGAGCCTTGGGAGGAGAGAGAAGAGAAGAGATGGTGCCATTAGCCCAGGGGAAGCACGGCAGCCTGACACTGGGGAAGCAGCTGCCACAAAAGGCTTTGTGTACCATGAGGGAGGAGAAAGCCACACAAAGCCATGGCAGGGAACAGCCCTGCCTGCATTGCAGCCATCTCCCAGGACAGAGCTGCTGTGCAGGAGGAAACTTGTCTTGTAGCCCTGGGCTGCTCTCTGGGAGGATAGAGCTCGGGGCAGCCCTGCCTGCTTCCCTTTTGCACAGTTCCTTCTGTACCCAGTCTCACCCAGCTGTGACCTCTGGCAGTCACACCCCAAATACAGCCCCAAACTTTGTCAGGGTACAGCGAGACGGAGAGCTCTCAGGCCAGGTCCTGTGCAAGGACAGGGAGCTTGGATTTCACCCCTTTTCAGAAAGATCCACCAACCCAGGGAGTGTCTGAGCTCCATCACCCCCAGAGCCCAGGAGAACTGAGGGGAGGCTGAGGAGCAGGGTCAGCTCAGGCTGTGTGGAGGTGAGGACATGGCCTGGGGGGGCTCAGGCTGTGTGGAGGGNCGCTCCGCCGCTCCGAGCTCCGCAGTGGCGCTCCCAGCAGCTGCATGGATCCCCCGGAAAAACTAAGTCCCTCCGCTATTTATTTATTTAAATTTAAAATACCAAAACTCCGGGTTTGGGCTGGGGTGGGGGGAGAGTTCACTAACCCCCTGCTATTTATTTATTTAAATTTAAAATACCAAAACACGGGGTTTGGGCTGGGGCGGGGGGGAGGGGGATTTCACTGACCCCCTGCTCTTTATTTATTTTTTTATTTAAATTTTAAAAAACCAAAAACCCAAGTTTGGGCTGAGGGGGGGGGGGAGATTTTACTGACCCCCTGTTATCTATCTATCTATTTATTTATTTATTTATTTATTTAAACTTTAAAATCCAAACCCCGGGTTTGGGCTGGGGTGGGGAGGATTTCACTGACGCCCTGCTATTAATTAATTAACTTATTTATTTATTTATTCATTAAAATTAAAAAGCCAAACCCCGGGTTTGGGCTGGGGTGAGGGGATTTCACTGATGCTCTGCTATTTATGTATTTATTAATTAATTTATTTATTTATTTAAATTAAAAACCCAAAACCCCGGGTCTGGGCTGGGTTGGGGGTTTCTCTGACGCCCGAATGTGCCGCCCTCCCTCCGCTGGTGTGACAGCAGGTCTGTTGTGTAACCCCGGCTGCGCTGCCCGCGCCCTGCTGCCCGTGCTCTGGAATAAACTTTGATATATATTTTATTCATGACGTGCAGTGTCCTCGAGTGCTGGTTGAAATATAACCGGGAGGGTGATTAGAATGGGGATTAGCAAATAAACCCTGGTAATGGCATGTAATTAATACCAGAGTGGATTTCTCTGATTATCAGCCTCTTCCCTCCTCTGAGTGTGTGGGGAGATGGGGAAGAATATGTTCAGATTTCCTGCAGCAGGATATCACTGTGATACATATAAATATGTATATATATGCCTACAGACATGGTCTGTCCTGAAAAACTCACATAAGAGGACAAACAAGGCAAACTTGGGTGACAAACAAGGCACAGCTTGCACATCAATATCTGCAGAAAAGGTGGCAGGGAAACACCCAAGCTCCCATCGTGCCTTTGCAGCCCCGCGCTAAGAGCTCTGCCTTTCCCCTCTAATCCCAGGCTTTGAGCTGCTCCTGGTTTCGTGCTGCCCACACTGAGCTGAGAATGCTCTGACACCTCTGGTGCTCCCCAGCTCCTGCCCTTTCCCCCCAGGGCCGGGGAGATTTTCCTGTGTGTAATCCCAGCTGGAAGGTGATTCCCAGAGCCCAGAGCAGAGTTTGCTGCTAAGAGCAGCTTAGGGGTCTCAGCCAGCAGAAGAGACACATTATCTCTCCTGGCTTTCAATTAATAGTATGGAATGCACAGCTTGGCCTCAAATCCCTTGATTTTTTTTTTCCCTTTCTGTGGTGATTATTTGCAAATCAGCTTTTGACCTGATTAGAGTGGAACCGACTTAGAGGAAATGCAGGGAAAGACCTTAAATGCATAATAAATCAACTCCATTAAAGCAGAGAGGCCAAAATCATTAAAAAAATCCCTGTGTGTGCTGGTTGCTTCTCACCCTTCAGTCTCAGCAAGGACAGAGTCCCATCCCACTCTGTATTCCTGGAGTATCTTCAGCTGGAACATGACATCCATTACAATTTTTCCCATTTTCTTCCAGGACAGGGAAGCTGCCGCAGTCCATGAGCACAGGAGGGTTGGTGGGAGGGCAAGGAGAGCCCTGCAAGGGGCTGGAATGAGGATGCCTGTGTGCCCCAGGGAATGCCAGGCCCAGGAGTCCAGAGGGTGGGGAAAGGCAGGGGTGCATCCACCTCCATCTCCTGGGCACTGGGGTGTCCCCGTGCCCAGCAGGAGGGGCAGAAAGGGCAGCACCAGGGAGGGGAGGCAGCTTGGCCGTGGGTTTTGGGCTGGAGCAGCTCCCCAGGCTGGTGCTGGGGTGAGAAGTCTCAGGAAAAGGAAGTGAAAGGAAATGGAAGCTGTCCTGGAGCTCCATTCTCCTGTGGGAGCAGGCAGCACATCCTGCAGGGAATCTCCAGCTGGAACTGTCATTGCTGGGGGGTCCTGGGCCCGTCGGGGGGGACAAACACAGAGCAGCACAAGGAGCCAGATCCCTCCGTGGCTCCAGGACAGCCCCAGCTGGGGAGCAGAGGGATTTACGTAACCCCCTGCCCTCCTGCAGCACCCTTACGTAACAGCACCCACACTTGTTGGCTTTATGGGATTACTCTGTTACAGACTTTCTGGGAAAAATGAAATTAATGTGGCGTGTTAATGCCTAAGCCTGGATTCTCCCCCTTCCTGCTGATAATTCCTCTGGGCTGGGCCTGGTGGAGCGAGTTGGTGTGAGGGGAGATGGGCACAGGCACCCGGGGGCAGGGACAGAAACTGCCCAGGGCTGAAATTACTCCAGGATGTTGGTGGGAAAAGGGGCAAGGCAGGGAACATGGGAGGGTAAAGGAGAGGGTGGGAGGGTGATGGAAATTGGACAGGGACATTGGAGGGGTGACAGAAGAGGGATAGAGATGGTACAAGGGTGATGGAGAGGGGACAGAGACCACGTGAGAATGATGGAGTGGAACAGGGACAGTGAGGAAGTGACAAAAGAGGGATAGAGAGGGCACAAGGGTGATACAGAGGGGACAGGGACAGCAGGAGGGTGATGGAGAAGGGACAGGAGTGGTGCAGAAATGATGAAGGGCAGTAAAGGGATGGGGCGAGGGTGATGGAGAAGGTNAGCCAGCACCACCTCAGCGAGCTGCCCGACAGCACACAGGGGTCTGACAGCCAGAGCTTCCCAAAGCCAACGATTCACAGGAATACTTGTGCCAGGACTCGCACTGCTCTCACTAGGGGCCTGCGTTCTGTGGTTCTCCCACCACCCAAGCCTTGCTGCTTCCTTTGGGTAGATGCTCTCACCAGAAGAGAGATGCTTTAAAAGGGCTATTTTCAGACATCAAAATCCCTGTAACTTTCAGAAGAGTTTCCTCCACGCAGCTGGAAGAGGAGTCAGCTCCAAGCAATGAAGGAGCAGCACAGCTGGAGGTGGAGCCACTGACAGGCTCCAAAGGGAAAGTATCTTTTTTTAAACAACTTCCCTTTGTCTTGCATTCCTCAGGATTAGGCTGGGCCCTGACAGCACTTATCCATTTCAAAACACATCGTGCCCAGGAGGAGATGACAAGCAATCCATCATTATGCAAGCTGCCAATTCCAACTCCACGTTATTTGCTGCTATTTCAATTTAGAGGATTTAGCAATGACAGCATTACCAACACTAATGATTTTTGCCAGTCATGCTAAGGTCGGGCGATGTCAAAGACTTCCCTGTGAAAACCCAGCATCTTCATCTGGATTAAGGAAAAGACCTTGTCAACAAATCGGTCTCAAATCACCCCTCATGGGAACAAAACCTTCACACAAACCCCACAGAAACAGAAAGCCCAGAGCAGACCGTGCTCAGCTCCTCCAGGTCTGCAGGCAGCAGGGAACTGTTCTTACACAGAGCCTGTCACGTTCCCTCTGTACAGAGCCAACCCTCACACTCTGGCACGTTCATTCTCCCTGGTTTTAATCTTTTTATTATTAAAGCTCAGCTTGGGGTGATGTGAGGAAAGTCGGGTCAGGGCTGTCACTCTCCACTTCTGCTATGCCTTTATCCCAGGCTGTGGTGGGTCCTGAATTCTCCATGGTTTCCAGGCTTCTTGGCTAACGCTGCTTGCACCTCCAAGAGAGCCTTTCAAATACTAATTAGGGTAATTAATAAGCAGCGAGAGCCCAGCCATAGTGTAAGTGTTGTAGGGCTGTCCTTGTTGTTTTACTGTGGACTTTCTATAGGGCACCTCAAGCATGAATAAATAAATCTGTCAGACCTTGTTAGAGCCCTGCCTCTTTCTCCCTGGTTTTTAAACCCAGAGTCACATTTTCCCCACAAAGAAACAGGCCCAGACTGAAAGCCAGGCAGTTACAGCACACCACTGCTTTCCAGGAATATTTTGGCTCTGTTACCTTATGAAAATTCATCCCAGGAGCTCCCTTTGCACATTCCTGGGCAATATGCAAAATAAAAAGCATATTTTTATGGGAACTGCTAACTGGGATGTTTCTTCTCATTCCAAGGCCTCACTGAGAGACCCAACATCTGCATGGCACTGCAACACCCCTTTATGTAACAACAGACAATATTCTGAGATTTCAGAGCTTCTGGGACAGAGAGAGGAGCATTATCTCAGCTCTGAGGAGGAGACCTGCAGGCACAGGTGCCAGAGACACCTCTGGGCTCACCCATTCCCATCACAGTTCACACCTCTGGGACCTCTGGACCACATGGAAAAGTTCCTCAGGAGCACAGACAGGACACAGCTCCTCAATCCAGCAGCTCCCCCAGCACAGAAACGGGCTGGACCAAAACCCCCAGCCATAAATA